ATTTTTTTGGAAAAGCAGTTGTTTTATAGACGTTTAAATTTATTACGTAGATTATTATTCAATACCTTTTTTTTTGTTTGTTTGTTTGTTTGTTTTGGAAAAGGTAAATTTTTTGTCAATGTAAAAAAAAAAAATTTTAAATTTGTCAGTCATTAACCGGATGGATATCTTTTTATATATAGGCGTCAGGTTTTTTTTTTTTTTTGTTGTTGTTGTTGTTGGTTTGTGTGTTTGTTCGAAATTCAATGAAAATTAAAAACCAGTGTTTGAATGGATAGAAAAAGGTAAGGTAACGTTTGTTGTTGTTGTTGTCGTCATTCTTGTCGTCACGAATGTAAACGTCTTAACATTTTTTTTTTTTTTTAAATTAAATTTACGATTTTTTATTTTAATGGCGATCGGTTGTTAATGTAAATTAAGGGTTGATATCTTTATGACAAAATTTTTTTTTTTTTTTTTTCCAGGTATCATCATCACAATTTCAACACAAACGAACGAAACGAAATAATAAATTTAAAGCGAAATGGATGGAGAAAAAAAAAAAAAAATTTCCCCTGGAAAAAATTCCTTTTTTTTTTTTTTGAAATATTGTTATTTAAAAAAAAAAAAAAATTTTTTTTTTTTTCCTCCCTTTCCCAGCAGCATCCCCCTCTTTTTTTTTTTTTTTGTTGCTTTTCATCTTTTCCCCCTAAATACAAAAAAAAAAAAACCCTTTTCCCTTCGTCTCACGTTTTCATTGGGACTGCCTTCCATTTTATTCCAGGGAAGCTAAAAAAAAAAAAAAAAAAAAAAAAAAAAATATTCGTCCTGCGCACTTTTCACTTCCTAATTAAAATAAAGCCCTCCAGATTTTCGTCGCTCTCTCTCTCTCTCTCTCTCGATAAAATTTTAAAACAACCGAATCAACAAACACTTGAATCTTTCGAATGCGGTTTAAACATTTTTCATTTACAAAATAACTTTTCCCATTTGAAAATCACAAAAAATAAATAAATAAATAAAAATT